TTTTGTATGAATATCCAATACAAAAATAAAAGAGGAGCATAATAATGGTAAGCTAGATCAAATTTTTTACATGGATAACTCTAGAAAGAGAAAAACTATGGGACATGACCTAGTTAAAATGATTTCACTAGTATTTGTATTTGGTTATAAGCAAATTCCTTCCTCAGTGGAGGTCATTGATACACTTTAAGAACGTAATGGTTGATTGAAGTTGAATGAACCCTTTGGAAGGAATCCAACAAAATTTCAATTGCTAACATTAGGAGTTAGCATTAATAGTGGTGCAACATAATGAAGTCAACATGTGTAGGATTAGTGATATAGTAATGATTAGAACATTGTTGGTCGATGGACCGTACTCATTTGATGGTGGATAGAGGGATGTAGTTAGATGACCGAGATCAAACGACCACTATCGACCACTATCGACTGATAGTGGTCCAAAGAACCATCCTTGGGTGATGGAGGTCAAAGGACTCTTATAAGGTGATAATGGTTGGATTATCGTAATTGATCAGTGACATTGGTTAAATGAATGTAGTCGAGTGACGGTGTTTGCATGACACTAATCGATGGATAATGAGGGTAGGGGGATATTAGTCAGTGAGTGACAGAGGTCATAAATATTATATTTGGGCAACAATGGTCGGAAGATTATAATCAAGCAACAATGGTCTGAGGATTGTAGTTGAGTGATGGTGGTCTCCAACTACAGTCCTTGGAAGACTATATTTCAGGCAATGGGATTCAGAGGATAGCAGTCAGGAGATGATGGTTCCAGGGCCATAAACAGGTGATGGAGGTTCCATTACCTTACTTAGACAGCGATGGTCAAATTATTGTAGCTAGATGACGAAGTGCTAAGTACCATCTTCAAGAGATAGAAAGTGGAGCATTGCAGTTAATGGGCAACGAAGGCCAAATGAACCATAGTCGGTGGGTGACGGAGGTCAGAATGATTGTAGTTGGTGGTTGATGGAGGTCTAAGGATTATAGTCGGCAAGTGATGGTAGTTCATAAACTATAGTTGGGCATTAATGTTTGGAGAACGATAGTCGAATATCGATGATACGAGGATGGTAATAAAGTGACAATGGTCTGCGATTCATAGTCAGGCGATGATTTTCAGAGGACTGTTTTAAGCAATGGTGGTCGTAGGATCGTCAGCATGCAATGGAGGTAAGATGTTTATAGTTGGGTGACTGTGGTTCCGAGGATGTTAGTTGGGTAATGGCTGTTAAAGGATCATAATGGTCAGTTGATGAAGGCCTAACAACGATGGTAGGAACAATGGTTCGATTGTGATGGTTAAGTGGAGCTACCGGATCCTTAGAGTCTAAGAGCTCTTTTTATTCTCAAGATAGTTTAGGCTCCAACTTTGATGCCTTGGGCTAATGAAGGATTATATCTCTAATGTTTAAAATTTTAACTCAAACATAATGCATAATAAATCTGAGCTAATTTAAAATTCAAAATAATAATATCAATCTAAACATTATTTGATTTCATTTAACAAAAACAATATATGCAATAATCTAATTTATATATGATCTATACATCAAAAGACTTGATACTAGATTTCAAATGGTATTAGAGAAATACAACAATCAAAAGATGGGAACTAAGTGTCATACATGAAAAAGTGCTACGCCATGAGGGCCACCTCTTGAACACTATATGGGACAAAAGGGCTACATGGCGGGAGCTACCACTTGAAGTTATAGGAGTCACCTTTAGAATCTTATCTGTTTGGTGGATGATTCTAGGATAAAAATAATGATGAGGACGTCAATTACTTAAGTCGGGGAGATTGTGAAATCCTACAGTAAAAAAAGCTAAACTCTTAAACATCGACATATCTTTTGATGTAATTGTTAAAATTTCATTAAGAAACTCTAAAGTTAAGCTTGCTCGTGCATAAGCAATCTTGGGATGGGAGACCACCTGAGAAGTTACACCAAATGGATAAAATCATACAGTTATTAGGCCAAAGCGTACAATACCTAGATAGTTAAGAGTTTGGTTGTTACACCAGCTCCAAGCTCCTCCCTCTGCATGGAAAGATCAGGAGCTTATTTGTAGAATTTTTAGCTGTAATGCCAATAAATATGGATAAATCTATAACACTCCATATGACAACCAATATTTATTCTCTTGACCATAAGATATTCGTTCAATATTAGTTGTCTTAATGATATTAGAATTAAGCAATCTTAGACTCATTGGGTCATTGAGATGCTTGATTCGATCATAAGCATGCCAAATTAGGAGATCTTGTAGGCATCCAATTAATGTCATGAAGTTTTCAATCACACTTCAGACCTTTGATTTGGGCGGATCAGGAGTGGATTGGACCATTTTTTGTGTTGAATCATCTTGTTGAAATATTTAGTTCAACTATTAAGTTTTTTGAAATAAAAAATTTGATGGTCTTGAATTTAATTTGAACAGTTTTCAATTCAAATATGACTCTAGATTTGTGCATGATCAAAGGGATTAAGCAAAGGGATTTTCAATGGTGTAACAAAGCTAACACTATCTATGGTGTCTAAATTATATTTCTATTACCTTCTAGGTAAAGAGTCTCCATTTAGTTGATTAAGAATACAGTTGGGCAAGTATTTGGGTTATAAGCAAAATAATCCATTAGATGAATACTTACATACATGAATATATAATGTTTATCTATGTTCATTTATTTACATAATTGAGCATATTTTAATAAAATTTAATAAATTATTCATAGTACATAATAAATCTAAAAATTGATCTGTTTGTTCATTTGTATTTCTAATTATATTCATTTGTTATTTAACAAGTGTCTCACTAAAAGTTTGATAAAATGCTCATTTAATGATGATTTTATTGGTTTTTTGATGACTTATTCTATAATCTTATGAATATTATTCTAAGTAAAAATATTAAAATAAAATTAAATTTTGATACTCGTTCATATAAAGCTCTTTTTTATTGGTTTTTTTATTTAAAATAAAATTTAAATTTAAATTTTGACCAAAATCTTAATATCAAATCCACACTATTTCAACCACTGATATCATTTGAGTTTGGACATTACTTCAACAGTTTGGGCCCCCCACTCCCACAACTACAATGTTATAGTGTGATAATGACTTCACCATGCTAATAGTAAGCAATCGCATTTTTTATGCTTATACCAAGTACATTGAGATTGACTACCACTATTATATCCAGAGTAGTGTATATGATTTCAATTTTGGTCAATGAATATAGATGTATAAGTTGATGTTTTGAATTCTAGAATTATTTATGTTGTTTATTTCTGATAAATAAAGCTAAATAGCTATGGTGTTGTTTATTAATAGATAAGAAAATTCTTTCAATTTAGATTCCATGGAATTACATCTCTTACCTCCATTGCTCGACTATGATCTCTCAGACCTCCATAGCCCAACTACGAAGGGATCGTAGTCCACCGACTACAATCCTCAGACCACAGTCCCTCCAACCTTCGTAGCCCACCAACTACGATCCTCAAACCTCCATTACTGGACTACAGTCCTTGTGACCTCCCTCGCTCGACTATGGTCCCTCCGACCTCTTTCTTCCACCGATTACGGCCCTCCAACCTCTGTTGCAAGATAATAGTCCTTCCAACCAAGTAAATAACAATCTCTGAAGAACAACACTCATGACATAGGATTATCCCTTCACCATGTAATGTGTAATATAAGATGTATATTTTATACATTGTGTCAATGGCTTCCCTCAAGGAATTGCATTATTTGTAAGTAACGATAAACATGACTAGAATAATTTGGACTGGATAAGGCACCATGGTTTTTTTTCCTTTTAGGGTTTTCACATAAAAATGTTGGTGTCTCGTATGACTCTTACATTTCTTTCTCTTATTTTTTGTGTAATGGATCTTCGTACAAGGCTAGGATATTAAATTCTCCATCTCTCTACCACCGTAAATGTTCTGACATGCAACAATCCATTTCAGAGCACATGGCTCATCCACACAATCCAACCATGAGACATTGTCCTCAAGCGTAATACACTAATATAATTCTAATTTTTGTATTTAAATATATATCCTTCACTTTAGATTGATGGCCACAAGAATGATTTGAAATGCAATACATTTCTCCTCTATTTTCTTGTATCACCTTCTTCAATCTTATCTCATACTAAACTACTACATCAATGCCTTCTACATAAAAAAAAAAAAAAACATGTAATGAAATACTATTAAGCAAGTCGCACTACATTTTTCCTTTTATCAAGGAGAGGCAAAACATTTTGATATTATTATGACATCATCAATTCAGCTCAATTAAATCTAGCATCAATTCGACCTTCTAAATCTCTTCAAGATATATGCTTCACATAAAAGAAATTAAACTTAATTAGAAAGAAATTTTGTAATTCCAACTCACATAAAAAGTATAATGAATTAAAGCGTGGTGTCATGCTATGAAGTTGGCACATGTATTATGGTGAGCAAAACATTTGCATATATTTTTGTTGTAAATTCCACAAGCTAGATAGGAAGTTATAAGCCTTATCCTAAAATCCCAATGACCTACAAATGGGTTGAATTAAAGGAGGAAAGATGTTGTTGAACTACATGATCATTGTCTTTATGGCGGCAAATTATTTTATGCGGATGTCGAACATCATCTATAGACCAATCAGAATACGCCACGTCACCCCCGCTCGATACCACGGCTCAGTATTGTACTTGGTACTGCTAATATGTCGCATTCTGATTGATCTCCAAATGATAAACTGCATTCAGCATCTACACAGAATAATTTTTTCTTTATGACGGGGCCAAGCATAATAGTCGCTGACCCAGCCACTTCTCATGGCCAAATGTCTCTGTATGGACCATTCACGCTTCCACCTACCAACATTAAAACACAGCCACATGCCCGCACTTCAACCTTAATAGTTCAAATTTTTACTCATTTCTGTTAAAATTAAGTCGCCACTGATTTTAATCTCTTAGTATATTATTTGATTTAATAATATCAATACTTTATTCAGGATTCTTTTAAGTACACAGGAACTTGCATCAACGTGGATGCCTGCTAAGCATAAACAACAGGTAATTAAAGTAATAAACAACAAATAAAAACACACAAAAAGTCCCAATAATAATTAAAAAAAAAGTTCTTTTTAGTGATAATTTCCTCCGCTGGCCGCTGAATCTAGCAGATCGGTAAAGGAGCACCATTCCACTCCTTCAAGCACTCGAACAGGGGATCAATTGCCTTCCCCTTGGAAATTGCCTCAAACACCTTGTCGAACTCCTCCCCCGGCGAAGTCACTTTCTCTCCGGTGAGGAAGGAGGCGCCCAGCTCCTCCCTGACAAATCTATAAAGAGGATAAGACCTGCATTCCTTAATCCTGTTCCCTATTGTCGACGATCCCTTCTCAAAAGCCACTCTTGTTGCCTCCACCTCCTTCGGAATCACAGCTTTGATCTCCTCTTCAAAAGCTGTGATCTTTTGGAAGATCGAAGAGTTGGCATCCTTCTCTTTCTCACCATTGTTGAGGGCATGCTCAACCAGCACTTGCCTCAGATTCTTCATTAGAGGATAGGTCGGGCAGCAGGGGTCATCCGCATAGGCGAACACATACTCCCTTTCAATCACTGTGATCAAGTCTTTTTCACAGAACCTCGAGGGGTGGAGCTCTCCATTAATCCCCATTGTAAGAGTTTTCTTCGCTGCTAGGCTCACCGCATTCTTCACAGCGCTCTTCAAGTTCTCCTCCAAATGCCTCAAATCAATGGCTTGGCAGATTGCAACCAGGAAAGTGCTAGTCATTAGCTTTAGTATCTCCACCGCTTCAGCAGTCTTCCTCGATGATATCAATCCCAAAGAGTTCACATCCTGGTTATGCTGCTCCGCGCTCTGCACATGGTTAGTGACCGGATTCGCGAGGTATTGAAGCTCAGAACAGTAAGCAGCCATGGCTATCTCTGCTCCCTTGAAACCATAATCCAAGCTTGGGTTTCGCCCGCCGGAGAGATTCGAAGGCAAACCGTTGTTGTAGAAATCATTAACTAGTTCTGAGATTTGAGCAAACATGAGCTTACCGATAGCAGCAATGGCAAGCCTAGTGTTGTCCATGGAGACGCCGATGGGAGTCCCCTGGAAGTTGCCACCATGGAGAGCTTTGTTTCTCGAGACATCGATCAAAGGATTATCGTTCACTGAATTGATCTCCCTTTCGATAGACTTCGTCGCGGCGCGAATTACTTCAATCTGAGGGCCGAGCCATTGAGGCGAGGTGCGGAGAGCGTAGCGGTCCTGTTTCGGCTTCTGTAATGGATCCATTTCATGGAGCTTCTTCGCCATCTTCATATAAGAGCTGCCTTCGAGAACGTGTTCCATGATGGCGGCGGCTTCGATTTGGCCGGGATGGTGTTTAAGCTTGTGGGTGAGATGGTCTGTGTATTCCGGCTTCCCCTGCATCACTTCGCAGAACAGAGCGGACAAAACCTCTGCCATGACAGCTAGTATGTTTGCCTCGAACAGGACAATGGAGGCAAGGCCAGAGCCGACGGCTGTGCCGTTGACAAGGGCAAGCCCTTCCTTTGGTTGCAGTTCGAAGAATCCTCCGGAGATTCCGGCGAGGCGGAAGGCTTCGGAAGCATCAATGGCTGCGCCGTCGGAGGTTATAGCCTTGGCGTTAGGACGGCCCGTTAAGACTCCCGCAATGTAGGAGAGAGGGACGAGGTCGCCGGAGGCGGTGATGGTGCCTCTCAGAGGGAGGCAAGGTGTGATATTTTTGTTGAGAAGGCTGGCAATGGCTTCCAGGATCTCGAAACGGATGCCCGAGTAGCCTTGGAGGAGGGTATTGATCCTCACTAGCATCGCCGCTCTAGTGGCGGAAGGCGACAGCGTGTTATCAGGATTGGATCCAAAGATTCCTGCATTAAGGAATCTGCAACAAGACAAAGACGGCTCTTTTAGGATCTTTTGCAACTTTTAGCCAGCCAATACCCAGAAAGACTCAAAATAAAAAATTAAAAAAAAAACGAATAGTCCATAGAGATAAAATACATCTTTTCAAGTCGCAAAACTCCATTTTATCAGGCCATGAACTGATTAACAATTTTTTATTAAATGGTCCAATAAATCGATCATATATATTTAAATATTAAATATTTTAAATATTACTTAAATAGTTCGATAACCTAAATCGGACTGCTAAAATTCATCAATCTTGACTACAAATTCAATCAAATTAGAGGCCAGCAGGAGGAAGATAGATGAAGCCTTTCTAAAAATCACGTTTTGGGAAATATAGCCACATCAATATCATTTTATTCGCGAAAACATACGAGTTCCAATCCAAAACGATGTGATCTTTTTTGACAATAAAAATATAGATAAATAAATAAAATTGTTCGCCTACTGAATTTGATGGAATGTCTTATTAATCTTCTCACCATTGTTGCACCTACCACAAGAACACCAAACCTACCACCAAAAATATATATAAATATATATTTATATTATTATAATAATTCTTAAATTATTATTAAAAATATATATTTTTAAGTTTCAATCCGAATGTTATGGTACGGTATGTTCTTAAAAAAGTGAACGTGTAAAGAACGACAATTTAAAAAAAGCAAAAGAAACGATCTTGGTCAACGAGCTAGCTTTTTCCTAACCAAAGACGTTTGAACTGTTTTTGTACCTGATGAGCTCTTTCTGAAGAGCGCCGCCTTGCTTTGTGCGGCGGTGAGAGGTGGCGCCGAAACCAGTAGTGACGCCGTAGTGATCGCCGCCAAGATTCATGCTCTCCAAAACCCAGTCGCTGCTGGCCTTCACGCCGGCGCGCGCCGACTCCGCCAGCTCAACGGAGGTAGCGGCACCGGAGGCCACGGCGGCGACCTGGGATATCTTAAGCTCCGCTCCTTCGAGCATCACCACCGGCCGCCGGAAGTCCTCAACCATTCTCTTCACCTCGTCGAGGTGGCTCCCCTCCGCCGCCTTCGCCGCCGCAACCCATCCCAGTGGGTCCGACCCTTTGAGGCAAAGGTCCTCCATCACCGCGATCCCGTTTGCGTGCCCGTTCTCCATTCCCAAAGAGAAGAAGAACTTAAGAGGAAGTGGAAGAACCAAGCAGGTCAAGAGCAGAGGAAAATTGGCTTATTGGAAATATCGACTCTTGCTTGCAAGGAGCGAATTTCCTGAGTTCGAACACCAACTAGATGGGCTTAAATAGTATGGTAGGATGGTGTTAGTTGTGGGAAAATCTCGGTCGTCGAATGAAATCAAGAAGATAAACGGCTGATTTATAGGACACGTGTAAGGGAAGACTACTTCGGCTGTTGGTAGCGAATGATCCACGAGATGGGAGGGTTTGGTGGCGAGACGTGTTTCTTGTAAGCACGGCGTCACCCAGCACTTTCTCCTTGTGGCCAGTAGTCGCACATCAAACTTAGACTCGATCTTAAGACCCATACTTATCTATGGATGACTGACCATATGTGGGCCCAAATTTTCGGGTAACACGACTGGGAGACTCGTGTTTGTGGGGTCGGTAATTGGTGACTTATAGAGGCAATTTAATGAATTATTTTCATTATTTCTGAAAATAAGATGCTTACGAAAATAATAATAAGTTCATGAGATAAGGGGTAGGTGAGATAGGACAGACTTTTTCAGCTACCGTTTTCCTTCATCATTAGGCATTTATCCTAGAGAAATTATTTTGTGGAGAGGACTGCTCGGAGACAAATCAGAACGTGCTACATCACCGAGTATACATCTATGGTACATAGCAAACTAGTGATGTGGCACTTTTTGATTCGCCTCCAAACGACATTTATATCCGCACAGAATAATTTCATCACTTCTTGATTGAATTAGCATTTTTTTAGTAATAATTGGATTCTTATTTGTATCAATTTAGTTATATTGATTTTTTTAGATAGCCAACAAATTGTAATAACTTCTCATAAAAGAATATTAAATATTTCTATATATATATATATATATGATTTTTTTGAACATTTTGGGAGAATATTTGAATCATGAACACTTGTGAATTAGGCCCATTTTCGGAGCACTTGTGTTAGTGGGGTCAGTTATTGGTTGAATTTCTTAGGTAATTAATTTACTAAGAATGCTCAATAAGTGTGTAAGGTATTTATTAATTATGATACTTAAGAGAGAGAGGGGTAGGTAAGACAGAAGGGGCTTTGCAGCTATATATCCTTTTTCTTCAACTTTAGTAGGCCACTGAGAGAATTATTATTTTTCTTTATTTAGATTAATAAATCTTTTTTTTTTATTCCATATAATGAATATATTTAAATATTAATTCAGTTATTGATTGAGAAGTAATCCATGTCGTGCTTGATATAATACAAATTTAATGAAAAATTATTTAATTATTTTATATTGTAAATTATTTTTATTCTGATTAATCACTTTATATTTTATTTATTATACAAATAAATAAATCTATTGAACAAATATTAGATGGATAGACTAAGAATATACTTGTAAAGATAATTTTTAAATCTTTACAATATAAAATAACTAAGAAAAAAATTAATTTTATATAATTAGAATAAAATATGATATACTTGTGATACGTCGTCCAAAAAATTATCTTAATCCGGCGCGAATCTCGATGCAAAATCAAGTTGGAAACTTCAAAAATTAATTCGGAGATCATCCAAACTCCGATTTCAGCAAACTTACAGTCGAACTGAGCGTCTCGGAAATGCGAACCCAACGACACCAAATTCA